GCGGGTCGCCATTTTGTTTTGTTCTCTCTCTTTCTCTCTCTCACTCTCTCTCTCCACTGCCCACAGACAAAATTGTACGCTTTCAGTAGGCTACAAGTACAGTTGTAATGGAACGTTTGTTCACAGCACAGAATTCTACAATTTTTCTGTTATCACAGTGTAGAATTCTGTGGTTTAGGGTGAACGCAAAATTTGTTGGCCTAGATCTAGGCTATAACGGTGAACGCGCACCGGGTGAGAATAGCCAAAAGACTCGCCTGCACTATTCTCATCCCGGGTGAGAATAGAGGTGGCCTTAAATTATTTAAAGGCCAGACTGGACAATGGAATTACCAGTCATTCAAAAACATTCATAATCATATCACTTTTTATCATAAATAACAAAGAAAGCTCTAGTCTAATGATGGGAGTGTGTTTATCACAACTCGGACACACAAGAGAAGAAGAGTGTGACAATGTCACAACTTCCTAATAGAGACAGCAGACAGGGGTAAAATCGAGGCGAGGGCAGTCTCACCGGTGATACATCTGCTGGAAAATAAGTAGATCTAGAATCTATGTCTCTATCCGTAACTATTCACATACAAACAGAAAATAAACTAGAACCTTAAAATCCTCTGCACGTTTTAGACCGACTGTACAGCGCATTCTCAAGTGTTAGCAACTTACTTGTTCCTACCCTTGTGAAGAATGCTACGACCTTCGCCATCTTGAAGTTGGAGGAAGTGGCAAATGTGGCCAGATACGCTAAGGTGACCGCATGCTAGCAGTGCGAGCACTTTTGCAGTTTGCCCTGAAAAAGGAAAGGAATTACAGGAATTGGTTCCAAATCTTTATACACTGCTTTTTCTTAAAGTGTATTGTATGGCTCTGTAATGTGACAGGAAAACTTATTTTAGGTTCTATTCATCTTAGTAAAAGTTAACCTACATCCCTCCTCATTTTCATTATGTTATTAAATCAACTCCTACAGAAGAAAGTGTACTGAAGAAGGGATATAACTCACTAAATAGACAACAACATGTAAAAGTCATTGTTATCCTCCTTTGAGAATTTTTCAACTCGAGCGCATAATAATTTATTTCTCAGGGTCTATAATTTCATCAGGAAACTCGGTTGCAATTTTCAATTTAAGTTTACAAAAGTCAAAGAGCTAGTAACCCCCACCATCGATCCCCCCCCCCCCCCCCCAAACCCACCCACTAAGACTTCTCTCTCTCTCTCTCTCTCTCTCTCTCTCTCTCTCTTTCTCTCTCTCTCTCTCTCTCTCTCTCTCTCTCTCTCTCTCTCTCTCTCTCTCTCTCTCCCCCCCCCCCCCTCTCTCTATTTTCATAGCTCTGTCCACAAATGGGCACTGGAGACCCGAGTTCGACTCCCGATTCCCGAGAGAGAAGAATTTCTGTCGAGTATTTCAGTCTCTTTACTGGGATGCTGTATCCGCTACATTCGAAGGCAAACAATCAGGTGGTTTGAGTTTGGACATCTCACACGTATGGATCCTAACCAGCTTGCCAGTAAAGCCTACTACAGGAAAGTATCAGGGTACAAAACAAGAGGAAGGCCAAGAAAGACCTGGATTGATCCAGGGTGAGAAGTATACCCTGAGAACATTCAATATCCCACCCAGCCAGGCCATCAAACTTGCGCTAGAGACTGGAAGCTCTTTCTCCCCTCGATACCCTAGAGGTACAAGAGGACGGATGAAGTAAAGTAAGTAAAGTAAGTAAGCTGTATCTCTCTTAGCCCGAGTTGACCCAGACAGGCAGGGTCAAGGAGGGTCAAAGGTCGCTCCTTATAAATATTATGTTCTATGTAGTGTCAATGGGAGAAAAAGACACCAAGGCCTACATAGAAATACATATGTCATTTATTATGTGGATCTCTCTCTCTCTCTCTCTCTCTCTCTCTCTCTCCCTTTCTCTCTCTCTATCTCTCTCTCTCTCTCCCCCCCCCCCTCTCTCTCTCTCTCTCTCTCTCTCTCTCTCTCTATATATATATATATATATATATATATATATATATATATATATATATATATATAACACGTCTACCCCCCCTCTACTCTCTCTCTTTCTTTCTTTCTCTCTCTCACACACTCTCTCTCTCTCTCTCTCTCTTTCTCTCTCTCTCTCCCCCTCTCTCTCACCCCCACTCCCGCCCTCTGCTTTTCTCATATGTTTACGTCCCCCCTCTAAACCCCGCTCGCGTGCTCTCTCA